ACAAAGTTAGCCCTGTAGTTCAAAATTTACTCAAGCATCTGTCATCCTGGCGGAGTAGTGTACACTTACATGTTGGATCAACATCTATCCATACCGAAAGAATAAATATTAGCAGAGGCATTTTCCAAGGTGACTGCCTCAGAGCGCTATGGTTTTGTCTATATCTCAACCCACTTTCCAACCTACTTAATAATACACAAATGGGCTTTGATATCAAACATCAAAAACGGACTCTCCAGATAGTCAATAATTTATTCTACATGGATGATATAAAATTATATGCCTCCTCTTTGGAACTAATGCGGTCACTCCTGAAAATAACAGAAAAGGTAACCAATGATACATTATGGAATTTGGGATACAGAAATTTAGGATGCTACATATTGAAAGATGAACGAGAAGCAAGAACACTAAATAGCGAGATTCTAGGCAATATGGCACCAGATGAAACATATAAGTATCTTGGGGTTCGTCAAAATATAAAGATGAATCACGAAACATCAAAGCAGCAGCTGAAAAAGCAATACGAGGTAAGGATTAAGCAAGTTTTATCCAGCAAATTCAATATAGGAAATATGTTTAAAGCAATCAACACCTATGCAATACCAACCTTAACATACTCATTTGGTATAACACAATGGACAAACACAAACCTTGACGAACTCGATAGACTTACCAGAACAACTATGACAAGGTACCGAATACACCACCCAAAAGCATGTACAAAAAGGCTTTATCTTCCAAGAGCCAAAGGTGGTAGAGGAATAATAGACATTAAGGAACTGCATAATAAACAAATAGATACGCTCACCAAATACTTCTATTAAAAAAAGTCCCCCTCATGCAGCAGTAATTCAAGCTGATAAAAACTATACACCACTCAACCTCCATGCAAACATAACCTATATAAAACAGAAAATCAAGAAGGCCTGAGACACCGATGGTCAAGTATGGCGCTTCATGGTAGAAATGTGAATATAGTACAAGATGATTGCATAAACAAAACAGCAACATACCTGTATGTTTGGCTGAAGAAATGTTTTATATTTCCTGAGACAGAAGGGTTTGCGATTGCTATCCAAGACTAATTTATAAACACACGGAACTACAAGAAGTGCATACTGAGAGATCTCACACTTGAAACCGATGAATGCCGCAAATGTAACATGTTTTCAGAGAGCCTAAACCACATCACATCTGGATGTAAACTTCTAGCTGCAACTGAATTCACAGTGAGATATAATAATGTAGGAAAATTAATACACAAGGCGCTAGCGAACAAACATGGGCTGACATCATGTAAAGACCCATACTATAATTATACACCGGATACTGTGATGGAAAACGCAACACACAAAGTATACTGGGACAACCCTATCCTTACAGACAAGACAATTGATGCTAATCGACCAGATATAACTATAATCGACAAAATAAAGCATGTAACCTACCTGATTGGTGTGGCAGCACCGAGCGATCACAACTGAAAAACAAAATATGATGAGAAGATCGAAAAATATATTCCCCTTGCACAAGAGATCAAATGACTATGGAAACAAAATAAGGTGGAAATAGTACCGATGATAATATCAGTGACAGGTATCACACCAAAGTCATTTATAAAGAATCTAGAACTGCTTGGATTAAATCCGCAGATACGTTCCCAAATACAGAAAGCAGTTACACTCAGCACCACAATCATCGTAAGAAAATTTTTACAATAGAATTAGTTATACGAACTTGGTTTAGCCCGTTCATGTATCATATTTACCAGACTAAAGTCTGTGCAAAACATCTGAAGAAAAATAATAATAATCGTAATAATAATAATATTAATAATAATAATAATAGCTATTGGGGACTGACGACTAACTATATGGGCCTATTTTACTGGCTTGATCTATTCAATTCATTTGTTATAAATTAAAATTTTAAAAGACTTGTGGAGAATATATTCTTTTACGAATTAGTTACAGCTTTGCGTGGGAAGTACAGAGTCAACCTACTTCACGCCACTTTCTGCAATACGAACATTTTTACAGAGTTTAATCAAGCTAAATCAAGCTTACTACCATCTTCCCCCATATACAGGGTGTTTCAGTTTATTGTTGCATAACTTTAAGATTCGATAGAACTTTTAAAATTAATGCATAAAGTCCTTATAAACATGGGTCGAAAAATGCGTGGCTTCCGAAATACAGGGTGTTTAAATTTCCTTCTAAAATAGTTTTTTTTAAATATTTCGAACAATATTTAATGTATAACAGTGGAAATTGGTATACAAGGGTTTTCTGGTACGACAAAACGAACCATGGGCATAGTTTTACTGTAGCCGCTAGAGGGCGCTCTCTATTGTACCTATAGTGTATTAAAATGACCAAAAATTTTTTCTTAGTGCAATTTTTTGCTTTTTGAATAAAAAACTGATTCTTCGCACTTTTCAACATAAAAAAGCCCTCTTGTGAATTTTCGCTATAGTTAGCCGTTTTTGAGAGATTTCGATTTTTAAGGTTCGATGCATTTTTAATTATTTATGATAAAATAACGTTAAAAAGTCAGTATCAGTGCCTGCAAATATTTTTGAAATTGAAAGCAGAATAAGGTTAAACGTCAATTAGTTGACAGTTAGTTTTGTTGTCTGTTGAAACCTGAAACGTTTTTTTGCAATTGTGAATGCACGAAATTTAGTTTCTTTTACCTGTTTTTTTGTAAGTTTTATAAAAATGGCACACGAAGATTTCCTAACAGACGACATCCAACTCGCTCAGTATTTGTAAGAGTGCATCGCCAAATAATTGAAAATGGTTTTGGAAGTCTCCAAAGAGATCAAAACATAAATGTTCGTCAGCGCAGATTTACCCGTATGATTCTGCGTGAGTTTGATAGAGATCCGACCACAAGTGTTAGGAGAGTTTCTGGTGCCTTGGGAATTTCAGCAAGCCATGTTCACCGTGTTCTTAGAAATAACCATAGACATCCTTACCATTTGCAACCTGTGCAAGGACTACAGCCAGGGGACGGAGAACGAAGAATCACATTTTGTCAGTGGATTCTTGATATAACTGATAATAATAGGGAGTTTTTAAGTAACGTTTTATGGACCGATGAGTCATGCTTCACTAGACGTGGAGTGGTAAATTTTCATAATCAACATATTTGGTCGCATGAAAATCCGCATGCAGTTCGGGAAAGAAATTTTCAGCATGAATTTAGTGTGAACGTGTGGATTGGTATCTACCGTAATCGACTATTTGGACCCTACCTTTTGCCTCCAAGGTTAAATGCTGCGACCTTCTTGGAATTTTTAAAGGCTGAACATGCAAATATGTGGGATGATGTTATGTTAGATTTAAGAAGATTTAAGTAGATTGGCCTGGTTCCAGCTTGATGGTTGTCCAGCTCATTATTCGAGAATAGTTAGAAACTGGATGGACGAAAATTATCCAGAAAGATGGATCGGCCGTGGAGGAGCAGTCGCCTGGCCTCCACGATCCCCTGACCTAAATCCATTAGATTTCTTTGTGTGGGGATTTCTAAAAGAAAAAGTGTACCAGACTCCCGTAACCACAAGAGATATGCTAATAGACAGAATCAGGAATGCATGTGATGGTATAAGGCCTTATTTGAATAATGCTATACCACGTTCGATCATTCGTAGATGTGAATTGTGTATTGAACAATTGGGTTTACATTTCGAGCAACTACTTTAGATTTTGTATGTTTGTCCTAACTATCCAATAGAATTTTAGTTGTAAATAATTAATTTAATTTGTTAAAAATAATATTGAAAAATTAAACAAATTAATATTCTGTTTTTTGTGTTTATTTGGAGTTATGAATTATTGCTGTGTTTAAAAACCCAATCTAAACGATCATCTTATTTACTTGTAATGCCCAAATCGAAAATGTAAAAAAAATATTATTTTCCCATAAATAATTAAAAATACATCGAACCTTAAAAATCGAAATATCTCAAAAACGGCTAACTATAACGAAAACTCACAGGAGAGCTTTTTTATGTTGAAAAGTGCGAAAAATCAGTTTTTTATTCAAAAAGCAAAAAATTGCACTAAAAAAAATTTTTCGGTCATTTTAATACACTACAGGTACAATCGAGAGCGCCCTCTAGCGGCTACAGTAAAACTATGCCCATGGTTCGTTTTGTCGTACCAAAAAACCCTTGTATACCAATTTTCACTGTTATACATCAAATATCGTTCGAAATATTTTGAAAAAACTATTTTAGAAACTAAATTTAAACACCCTGTATTTCGAAAGCCACGCATTTTTCGACCCATATTTATATAGACTTTATGCATTAATTTTAAAAGTTCTATCGAATCTTAAAGTTATGCAACAATAAACTGAAACACCCTGTATATGTACATAATGAGGCGTTTTACAGACAGTATAATGGATAAATAGTAAACTCATCTATGTTAGTAATAATGTCAAGTACTTTTATTAGGAGTGTATCATATGATACATAGAGTATGTTACTATTCACCATTTGCAACTCAAGCATCATGGGGTAAGTAAACTCGTACAATTATTGACCAAAACGGTTAGGTGCTGCCTGTTCAGCGGTGTATGATTTAGTAAAGCTAAGGATTTAACTCTCTATGATGCTTCATGTTAGAAAACTGAGGTGCATATTTTGTTACATTTAGTTAAAAAGCTCAGTAAATTTTAAAAATATCATATTGTAGATCAGTGTATTTGATCAAATATTGCGTATCTCTCGCTTTAAATGTAACATTTCTAAAAACCTGCTCAATTGGTAATTTGATAAAAATCGCATAGTTTGATTAATCCGTTCAAAACGTTGATGCCGTTTCCAACAAAGCTCGGAAAATCGATGCGAAATTACGTTACTTTCAGAGCAGGTTCGAGTGCCTCGCAGTTTTAATGGACACGCGGCATTTATGGAATATATTTGATGTTGTGTTTAATCAATACCTACCTGTATATTTATATCCATCATTCTATCTCTGTTTCAGCCTAACCCGCTCGCTCAGCTGCAAGAACACACTGACATGTGGCACAACTACCACGATGACATGAGAGCAAGACATGTTGCAGGTAAAGATTCAGCAGTCATTATTTTAGTCCAGTCATTTTAATCTAGTTTTACATGGTTAGTTTTGTGGAACTCTTGAAGAGTTCATATTATTATTGATTTTGGTGTGCCCTTTCCCAACTTTCACTTGATCATCTCACCGCCCTATTGAAAAAATGACGCCTATAAATAGTTTTTCACAGTATCTCCGTTCCGGTACTACGACTAAATCTGGAACAAAATTCCTACAATTTACGTATTAAGCGATAACACCATTGTACATTCTTTTAAAAATGTTCTTTTTATTATCAGTTCAAAAATACTCTAATCCAGAGCACGTTAGTGCAGAATCAACACATGTACAGAAAGGGCATATTTTTTCATATTTATACTGCATTTCAAAACATTAAACAAGTTTTCAAAAACATTATCATTCTCTTCATTCATTTTTTACGGTAGGTACCCTTGGTACAGCACTTTGAAAGGGAATACGCCTTGGATTTTCGATAATCTAATTATTATCTATTTGCAAATGATTACATTTTTTATCATGAGTTGAACGTAAGTACACGTTAGCCATACAAAAATCAGTATTCAAAAAATCCCATACGTAATTTTTTTGTTATAAACAGGTAAAATAAGCTTTTTTTCCGACCTGTGCCACTGAGACAGGAAATATTGTAATCGCAAAAAAAATCGAAAATGGGATTACGTTTTTTGGATGTTACAATATATCTACCTACATCACGAAAAACCATGTCACTCATTTCCGTCCGTCTGTTCGCAAATCCTTGGCCCGTTCATAACTTGGAAAGTATTTCTCGGATTTTGATGAAGATTTCACAAAAAATGCCACAAACAAAAAAATTAAAAATCGCTCAAACTTTATTTTTTGACGCAATTTTTTCATGTTGGTGTATTAATATACTTCCAAGCCCGGTAATACTCGTACTATGCACCCATTAATCATATTTTACACATCATCTACTTCCCCATACATTTGCTTTTAAAACATAGAAAAATATTTTCTCCTAAGACGGAACAAAAAACATTCTTATGCAATAAGTTTATTTCTGGGTTGTTCTGTACGGATATTGTTCCCCACACATGTCTATCATGCGGCTATCCAGTTTACGAGGGACCTTTCATTTGTACATATACCGGGAGTAATCTAGTAGTTAGTAGTAGCTGCTTCTAGTGTATGGTGCAGTTCTTCTACACTTCTGGGTGAACACTAGAGTCTTGTTAGAAGTAAACAATATATATAGTATACAATTCCCAAACAACTCCCGAACTTCGCCATTTCTCTGGCACAAACAAGCTCATAGAACTTCAAAGTTACCCGCATTTTTTCATAGCTCAACTCCCGCAGTTTTCATTCCTTATTTCATCAATTTTGTATCAACTGTGGTCCATTAAGGATCCACGAACTTACCCTTGAAGTTATTCCGGAATCGGATTGTCTACCCTCCAACCCACGGTGTTGCACTTTTCCGATCTGCGAATTTCCGGTTTCGTCACATACTAGAATACCACTAACATCTGCTTCTAGCAGAATAGCCGGATCCCCAACTCCTTGCTTCCCGAGGAGCAACTTTTGCTCAAAGTGATCCCGTAACTCCGTAATGGGAGATGATCTTGGGTCATTCTCTCCACGTTGAAAGAGATACAACGCCCTACTCCCGTCTTCAGATGTTGTCGTATACCTTTTCTTGGGGGCTCCAATGCAATCTTTAGGCATGGAAAACCAGTCCGCCAGCTCCATCAACCCGGCGGATCGTCCATCGCTTGTTACTACACGCAGTGAGATACAGAGGTTAACGACCAAATGCAATGCTCAGCTTCTGCAGATGGAGATGACGGAAAATTGCTTCCCGATGGCCCTAGGGCTGATGCTGCGGGTTCGTCATCCTTAATCACATCATCCCGGAACAGACCAGGCTGCTCCACCAACATTTGTCGTTGTGGTAGGCACTACCATGAAATGTCGACATAGAAGATGACCCCAGGCCCCCAAACATCCACAGGGGGTCGTAGACATGACAGATTGGCATACGTGCAGCTTTTGTGATAGGAAATTCCATCATATCCTGGCACAAGACTGCACACCAAAAAAGCCCATCCTATCGACTACAGCAGGGAGTTAGCAGAAAGTGCGCCGCATTCGAAAGCAGAAGTTGTCATCAGGATTGAAAACATCGAAGCCAATCTGCTTCCGGATCAGAAATACTTCATTGTAGCGGCAGCAGTAGTGAACAAACATCAAATCCAACAACAAGTCCAACTGCAAGTCATGGATCTTTACGCAACGTCGCCCCTCCGCCGAAAGTAACTCAAGGTAACTTCTCGCCATCAATGAAACAGAGCCGCCTACGCCTCAACTAGATCACATGTTGTACACACGTCTACATGCTGCACTCTCAAGATGAGCTCCACAGCAACTATCATCAAATGCCAATCACGAGAAAGGTTCATCTAGTTCTACCACCATGCGCAACAGTTTATCATAAACACCTGTTGTAAACAAAGTCACTCCATAACCATTCCACAGTCCATCATCATCTACTACTTGAGACATTGAGACAAACAGACATGACTTGCTGACGCATACTCTAAACCCCTTGCAGACATACTACAAGAGTACCCGCAGAAATTCTATGCACCTCTTAGGCATATTTCACACATGAGAGGTTTCCTCGTTTATTTGTCTTTGAAACGTGAATGATGAATGATCATATTTGAAAAATGTCTTCGATACGCCCCCCTTTGCTATCTGGGCTCAGCGCCGGCATAATCATCTGCTTGATTATTCTGCTCGTACTGCAGGGTGCTTCCGAGGGCTCTGCTGCGATTGACGATATGTGAAGCGGCAACGTTGCCAGATGGACGATAACTACCGGTAGGGCAGGGAAAGGAGAGAATGTCTATCAGCTAATTTTACGGATCTGTTTTTTTTTTCTCAGAGAGTTTAACTTGTTCTGAACTTAATCCGTTATGATCTGATGATGGCGTTGAGTAGGAAGTGCCGAGTCATTTTACTTAGTGCCTTTTTTTTGTCGTTTGCAGCAGCCACACTACGTGCCGCAGTGTCCTAAAATTCTATATACCTCGTGAAAATATGAATATCTATATGCTAAATAATATCCTCAAATATTAGCATTTCATCATCTTCTTTTTAAAAAAAAAAATGACAAATATCACTTTTTTAGGCCGCTACAGTGATGTTTCTCCTTGAGGACATAAAGGTATGAGCGGTAAATATGCGAAGTAGCAATGTGATTATTCTGAAAGTGGCACGTCAAGTTATATACAAACAGGGAAAATGGATTTTACTGGTCATGATGATATTTTGGACGATGATTTGAATATAAGAATTATTCAAAGACCAAGAACAGAAGCTATTTCTAAGAGATTAGTAACCATTTTATTTTTTAGGAAATTTAGTTTGTACAGTTTTGAAATATTTTGCCTGAAACTGAGCCCCAACTGGAATTCCCCGAAGACTTCTACCATCTTGAATTACATAAAAAAGTCCCTAGATTTTTGTAGTCCTACAAAACTCAAATTCAATGTTGGTGCAACAGGCCATTAGAACGTAATCTAATAATCATAACTGACCAGTCTGATATTATAGGACATGAGTAACGATTTTTTAACCTTTTCCTCTAGCAAATTTGACTTTAGGTCTGAGTAAATTTGCCCGAAGGCGCCCCAAAACAATCGAACGTAGTTTCGGTTTCAGTTTTGGTGGATTTTCTGCCGAAACCGGAACTACACCTATACCGAAATTCCTAAGGGAATCCCTGTTGTTTTACTGTGACTCGCCTAAAACAGTAAAAAGACCTATACACTGATCATCGATCCATAATGCATAAATTGAATCTAATTTCAAAATATGGGCACAGCTATTTTTATAACGAGTTATGGACTGTGTATCTTTCAGACATGCAAGTAAGTCAATTTTCCGGATTATGTCTGAAAATAATCTATGATTTAAGGGATCTCTGATAAAAATTACAAATTTGACAATCCAGAATGAAGGTCTGATAACGCTGCCTCACATCAACCGAAAAACGGGGTAATACAAATTTTGGACGAATACTGCTAAAATTTGTTTGGGAACTAATCATCCTCTTAGATGAAAAACCTGGTTGGTAGGAGGATGAGGATGGCGCACGAGGTTGGGAAATTTATTTTGGAAGCTAAATAGTCACTTTATATTGAATAAGTTTTATAAACGCTCACGTACGTTGATATATACCATGTAGCATTATTAGATTCCCCATCAAAATCCAACAAGGAACTTCTGAGCATTTTGAATATACCTTATTTTACAGGAAATGCTAAAAGATTGACAAAACATGAAGAATGTGCTTTAACATGCTGAAATACGTGGCGATTGTGCATACAGAATTTTGAACGAAATAAAGAATACATAATATAATATCGGTGGTTACTCATATAACCAGTACTAAGGATTTTTCTCATATCCAACTATGCCAAAAAAATCAACGAACTGTGATCTTGGTAGTAGTTAATGGTTAAACAGCATTACAACAACTAATTAAACAAAATGAACGTAGTTTCTCCAGACTTTGTATACCTATAACAGCCTTTGATTCCCAATTAATCGAAAAGTTTCAGAAATGCTCTAAAATCTCCGCAAGTACAACTTAGGCATATTTCAAATTTGGTTGGCATTGTTTGTACAGCGAAAACTAATTGCACTTTTTCAATGGCTTAGGTATGCCGAGCTACATGGTATCCGAAATGCCATACCATTCTTCCCAGATGGCTTCCCATCACCAACCCTCTCCCCCACTCAGCATTCCCAGCCCTCTACTGGAGAGCAGTCAGACGCCTCTTCAAGCACTCAATGGCTTGACCCCACCGCATTCGATGCCTGTCACGCCTCCCTTCCATCACCAGGGGATCGGCGTGCCTATAACTCCGCCCTTAAGTAATGTCTCGATGACCCCGCCTCACTCGAACGAGAACGTACCGCCCGATATCGAGCCGCAGCCAATCGCTGTAGCGCAAGCGCAAGAGGCGGATAAAGGTGTGGAGTTTGGGGAGGACCAGCAGAAGCAGCAGGTAAGTCGATATGCGTAAAACCTCAAAACATGGTGTTGTGAATGTTGGGAATTCCGCTTGCAGTACGTATAGTATTTTTAGAAAAATAAGAAAATTTGTTCAGTAAGAAACACACCAAACTCTTAAGATAACTGAGTTATAAGATCCCGAAAGAGTCTACTATTTCAAATGTGGTCCTACCTCGGTATTAGGTAAAAAGTTACGAGATGCTTCAGCATCCAACCCAGATGCGTCGTGTAGGTACATTGAGCTGTTTAATTATAATTCGGAATTAAAAAAAAAAAAAAGAAAATCGCGCATTCTTATAATAATTACCAGGCGATGACGTTAGTTTACAGTGAATATTTTCAAGACGCATTTGATGCTTCACAAGAGATTTACTATCTCGATATTTACATCCCGCGCCGCGTGGGTCTGTTTATCTTGCACAAAGGCGGTTTGAAGAATCATTGCGACGAACACACTAGACGATCCGGTCATCCCCAATTGATGAAACTAGTGTTTTTGAGTCGAACGACGAGTAGTATTTGTAAGCAGGTCGTCCAGTTTTTTTAATGAATCCTAGACAGGGAAGATCATTTATTACTAAACATTTCTATCGAAACTGCATCTCGGTACATTTGGGTGATTTTACCTACCTAAAGAAATTTAAACAGTTACTTAGTTTTTATGGACTATGGCAAAAAGTCTATGATCACACCAGAATTACAAATCAATCAAGAACAATTATAGATTTGATAATAACAAACGAACAAAATTTAATGACTAACTTTGTGCATACTCCTAAGATCAGTGATCATTCATGGATATTTTTTGAAGTTGAAAGTATATTTGATGCTAACAAAGTGGAAGAAATTACTAATATTAACTAAGTAAAATTACGAGAAGCCGTTTTACTGCAAGATATGACTGAAATGTTTGTTGATGTTGTCACTACTATACAGGGCTATTGGGTAATGTTGAAGTTTGCATGAAAGAAACTATAGTCAAGACTGTTCTCGCAGACGTTCAAGGATTTTAAGTTAAAAAGAGACTACAATTATAAGAAGTTTATGATTACTGGGAGTGAAAAAGATTTACTAGAATACACAAGATCTAGAAACCAATCTGTAGCCGTTCTACGAGATGAAAAGAAAAAATATTACAATGCCAAAATTGATGAGAGTAAAAATAATAGTAAACAGATGTAGAAAACGAAAAACATTGTTTCTCCTATTAGAAGAAATACATTATCTAAGATGAAGTTCGCCGATGGGGTAATTACAAATGAAGAGATAATAGTAGATCGAATTAATAGCCATTTCATAGAAAGTATCAACGATCTTGTAAGATCAATTATTGACGGGGATCCCAACCAATATCCCATTAGATCAGATTATAATGCATCATTCAGTGAGTTTAGAGAAACATTAATCGTCTCAAAAAGCTTATATCAAAGATTAAATCAAATCAAAATAACAGGAAGATTTTGTCTAAAAGTGTGCTTAATGAATGTTTTTATATTATTGAATCAAGATTATTAATCCTGATAAATTACTGTTTAAAATATGGCGAAGTTCCAACCATTACTCCTGTTTCGAAAGTTAAGAATTCTGAGTTGTACATCAATATGCGGCCAATAAATGTTCTGCCAGATGTTGAAAAAGTCTATTTACGAACAGATCATCGAATTTCAAATTTCAAGCTGGACTTAGGAAGAAACACTCAACTGAAACGGCAATACACATGGTTTTAGAGGACTCGATGAGAATAAATGGTAAAATAATTGAAAATGTTAAAACATATATTTAGGTATATATACTGATACTGACAGTAAGCTAATGTTTGAGGATCACTATGAATAAATTACTTTTATAGGGCTTCTCATAGTCTTGGAACATATTCCAAAAAAATAGTTTATAATACAAATATTCTACCGCATTTACTATATTGTTCAACTATCTTGTTCACTGCCAATGAAGTTGTATTCGCAAAATTACAAGTCCTGAAAAATAATGCTATGAGAATAATATTGTATAAAAGTGAGTACACCAAAATAAAATCTATGTTTACAAGAATTGCAGTAGTTGATAATAAAAAATTTCATATCCAATTTGGTTCTTATTTTCATATTTGAAATAAAAATTCATCTTTTGCCACAGCATTTAGAGCACTACATAGAATTGAATAATCATTACCACAATTATTATATAAGAGGAAATACAGATTTTCATTTACAAAATTGCAATACTAATATATCAAATCAATATTTCAAGAAAGATTACTTGAATTTAATAAACTAAACAATGATATGAAGTCTACTTGCAATTTAGAGATGTTTGAAAGAAAATTAAAGGAATATTTTATGAACAGTGAAAATTCTTAGTGAAAATTTCGTTTTTCTAAATATCTGTATGTTATTTAGTTGTGTAGTTTTTTAAAAGAATGTAATTGTAGCAATCATGCTGAATAAATCTTAAACAAACAAACTATTTTCTATTGTATCGTTATATTTTGTGTTTTATATATTTTTAGAGTGGAGACAGTATGATGCAGCCACTGACAGATCATAATGTGTATCAACGTGAAGATGAATATCTGAGAGTGTATAGTCAAGATTCGATAACTCTGTATGATGAAAAACCTGGAGATATTAAAGTGAAGAAGGTAGGTAAATTTAAGAGTTGGTGTTTTAAAATCTAATTTTCAAACAAAAAATTTAATCAAAATCATGTCCCCAATATTGGAATGTCGAACCAACGTTCTTATAAACAACTAAACTCCATTATCAACAAGGAATTATTGCTTTTTGTTATGTAGTGAATATGTAAGTTCTTATCACTAAACTACTTGATGCTCGATGGCAGATTTAGGATTTTCAATTTAAATAAAAAATGGCGTCAAGTGGATTGACTCTATAACTTCACACGCCTTCATTGAAGCTGTTTATTGCATCTCAGAAAAGGCGATGAAAAATAACAAATTCAGCTTAGTGATACAATTTTTATTTTCAAGTCAGCGGTATCCCCCAGAGTACGGACATTCATTTTATTCTCGGACTGCCTCCACAGGAAAAAGTCGGAGGTGAAAAATCTGGTGATGGTAATGACCATGCAATAAAACCAGAGAGATATTAACTTTGACGTAAACTTTGACGTCTCAATTCTGCAAAAGCTACATCCGTAAACTGTATAAAATATAAAAAATATTCTGATACGTTATACAAAATCCGATGAGCAAAGTCCAAGTGTATGCGTGACGAAGTGCAGAATATCAAGATGACACAATCCTAAAAAACGATGGGTGGTACTTTTTTATTTAAAATTCGAAATCCTATGTCTGCCGCGGAAGTTCTCCATCTGTTAGTACTGGGCGAGTCGTTAATCCTATACCCGTGATTAGGCCAAATTTGAACTCGAAAGTTATACATTTATCCTCATACTAAGAAACGTTGTGCTCGGAATTCACGCATTTCGTATCTGTCAGCAGCAATCACGATCTATGAACAAACGACCGCCCTCCTCATCACTAGGAGGCGGTGCCACAAACGCCGAGCGTTGCCGACCATTGCCGGACTTCAACGAAGCTTTCGGTAGTACTCAGAGAGGCGGGAGGTTTCAAAGTCAACCGCCTGCCAACTTGGCGGAGTTATTCTACAATGTCGACGATGCGCCAGAGTTTCAGTTTGAAGTGGGGAGATAAAAATGTATTATCTTATTTACAGCCGTGTGAAAAATTGTTTATGAAACGGATTCCTTAAAAAATGCCAAATTGTACTTCATTATTTATTGTTAGTTCTAGACTCCAAAGTACTTTTATACACTGCGGTGTAAATTTTAAACAAGTTGCACAATTTTGGTATTATATTCATTCTTTAATGATTTGAAATATATAAAACGTAAACGCATCATGAAATGATATTTGAAAAGTGGTAGTAATCATCAGAAAACTTTAGAACCGAAGAATAAAACACACGTACTGGACATCATCAATACAAAATGTCTATCAAAAAAGTGTATTTCAAAGAAAAAGGACATGTGTATGGGAATTCTCTATTATTGAAACAATTAATGCTGTTGTCAAGTGATACAATACGTTATATCCTATTAGAAAGTTATGAGCAGTCATCACCTTACTGCATACGTACACGTTAAAGTGTGGTTAACGTTACCCTTAATTGGCCCATAAACTATTAACTTCTTATGGCCCAAATGTCAACGTCAACGTTTAGGTACGTCGTAATGTCATTCCCTTTTCTCTATTATATCAACTGGCAATATCGTTTACGGTTTGAATAAAGTGTTCGTACAATAGCTCTCTCATGTGCTATGGATTCAGATATTCCAAAATGCCTGAATTGGATGCCATTTTAATTATGAAATGAACTATGATTTCATGTAAATTATAAACAATATATAAAACGTATAAATATATGCCTATAGAATAGCAGGAATTACTGTATAATAAAATGAAAAGTTATTAAATAGAGGTTAAAATAATACTTTCACGAACACTTAAGTAACTACGAAGATAGCACGACCGCTACCGAAAAACAAAGTATTTGTAGGTGTTTACCTTTAGAATCAAAATATGTTTGGACCCTGAGGACATTTTATCCTATTTACGATCTCGTTTCTTAAGCTAAAATCAAATATCGAATTCATATTATCCTAGGAACTGAAATTTCTTTTAACATTCCACGTTCAATCCCACCAAATGATACTTTTAAAAAAGGTCGATCCGTGCTATCTCGATGTAGTAAACCCATCATTAGTAGGTAGTTATTGAGGTGGCTTTTCTAAAACAATATTTTTATCACTTTAACAAAATTCAAAATTTTGATGTGTTTACATCTTCAACTACGTGGAAAAGCAGCTTAGATTTATAAAAAAAGTTATATATTGTGCCTTTGCAAGGACTGTATTTAAAGTTATTTTGCGTATAATCAACAGTTACTTCTTCGGGCATATTATTTGGGACCAAAATATTGGTTTGTTTTGTTGATTTTACGGATTTTGATGTATATTAAAAGATAGATAGTCCAAGATGGAATATATCCTGTATATAGATTTAGGCAAATTTGTAAATAAGACCTTTATTTCAAATTAAAATATAGTCATTCGAATATTCTTTGAGTGAGTTCACTAGATCTCTAAAATGTGATATATTATCATAGTGCTAATATTTTCAATTGTTTTACACATAGCATTTTAGTCCTAATATTGTACATTACGGAAAAGTATATTGATATAGCGCCAGAGATAGGGGAACTTTATGGACGTGTCGTAGCTGAAGTCAGAAATTGGACTACCATACCATGTTTTTCGTCCAAAATAATTGGGAGTCTCCTTTGAAAAGGTTAGTGTCTCGTAAATAGCGCTGTAGCTGACCTGACCTTACATCTATAGGTACACACTGAGCAGACCGTAGGTCCTTAGCTCGTTTTTCCAAATGAAAGGTTCCTTGCAGAAGGAGCGAAAACTTAACCTTACCAGATTAGTACATAATTGAAATTATGAATAGAAACAGAGCTACTACTAAAGGAGGTGGGTGGTATACGTGCAATTATTGTAGGACTGCCTTGGACGTCTGTGCTTTTGAACATCAGCCACAAAGTAATTCACTGCCTCCCTTACCAGAGGGTTAGAATAGTTATCTGCTCTTGTATTTGTATAAGCCTTAATTGGACGTTCTTTAATGAGAGAAATAATATTGAGATTATACGCTCATAGGTAGGTACATAGATGGTTACAGCGCCATCTATGAGACACCAACTCAGGTAGATTTCTAACTGTTGCGGAGAGAAGAAAGATACTGTTAGTATGATATCACACAAAATTTTAAACCGTTCCAAATAATCTCACTTTAACTAACCCTGAATTTGGTGATGTAAATATGGAATATCATCTTAGAGGTCATGAAAAAAACGATTTTTGGAAAAAAAGTTGTAATGTTATGCATATAAGTATATTGAGTGACTCAACTAATATACAAGCGAAATAAAATTACAACACAAAATAAGCTTCTTTACACAAGATAATATTCCTAGATACAGGATGACTTGATCCATACAGCTTCCCCTCGTGCTGATATATTCTTAAAACCACCTTATATCGTATTATGTATATCAAAATGTTAGCCAATGTAGTCGGTAAGTGGAAACAAGTGCTGTTCAAATGTACCCGATCATCTATTGAGAAGCACATTGAAAAATGTGTAGAAAGAAGATAAGAAGACAAGATGGTATAAACTGATGCTTCGCGAATGAAATGTATGATCTTGAATGTAATTTAGTTCAAAATGTGCAAAGAGTGCATATTCGTCTGTATATGCATTTCATAATAGTTCGAGATCGCATGTACCACAAAATCCATTATGTATAAACAGATGCAAATTCGGTAAGCTATACTATATAACTTTAGGAATTGAGACAAGACAAAAATGACACCTAGATGTTGGTCCGATGTGCAGCATGGCAATGGCAGCGATGTTCAACGTTGATCCCGCTAGGTGGCGCTAGTGTGGTTGGAGGTCATGTTGTCAATAGCAGATGAAAAAAGACAAGATTGGATAGAAAGGTAACCTATTTTTCATGACGCTTCATCACGTTTTGACGTGTATTGCCGTGGATGGGTGGTCAGCAATTGACGTCTTTGTTTATAACCTGAGTTGCAAAGAGACAAAAGAACACCCAGTAATAATATTGAGTTTATTACCAAGATTATCTAGGTATGTTAGGTATATGTTTGATTAGACTAGGAAGAAAAACTATAAGCTTTTCAATCATACCGATAACATGGTTTTTGTGATATCGTCTGTTCTTACAGAGAAAGTAAGTATGCGATATTTCTCTTTTGTAGCTAAAATTGTTGACGTTTGATCATCGTCTCATTTTGAAGAGCTGCTTTAGTCTGTTTATTATGATTAAAGTAAAAAGACGAAAAGCTTAGCAAGTTTAATAGGGTAGTGGGCTGGTGTGAGACTAGTTGGTTGTGTAGATAAATATCCACCTGGATGCAGCACAGAAGTCTAATAAATATAGTGGTTGTTTGTTGTCGGGCATGGAATCAGGCAGGCTGTGCACTAACAGTTAGAGCTACAGGGCGTGTCAGAAGTAACGGCCCCACACCAATAGTATGGAAAGCCTACCACAATGCAAATTGTTTATCGCCAGATCAACAGTTTTCAACTTACTTTATACCGTGCTCAGTTCGTCCTACCTCTCACTCCTAGGCGCCGAAGTGATCGATTGGCTTGGTGCAGAGAACGGCTGAAATCCGTTGGTCCATTTTAAAGACAATTAGGTGGTTTTGTTGCCGAGGCCCTTAAATCTTCCAATTTTTTCACCCATTGAACACGTCTGGGATGTTATGGGATGGATATTACTCCGTTCACCCTATCCTCCGCAGACTCCAGCGGGATTTCAGCACGAGTTACAAGTACCCTGGGATGAAATACCTCAAGAGGAAATCGATCATCTAATCAGGAGTAGGCGGCCGACGTTACTCGCCTAACCGCAAGTTACATATGTATACAAAATATTGTTGTACTGAATTCATAACTACTTGGTGTTCTTTTTTCTTTGTCAACTAGTGAACTTCTAGTTTTCCAAATTACCACCCGTTGCAGCTTGAGAATTTTGGACGCCCACTTGCCACCTCATTCGGATGCGCATTGCCTTGGACTAATAAACAAATAGGTGGATCAAATGATGGGTACAGGCAAGGAGTAGGGAATGTCACAATTTTTCTTTTTTAGTTTCACATTGGAAGCAAATCCTTGCATATATATGTTAATTCCCAATCGTTAGCCTTGCTTATGGCCGAGACGAAAATAACTGGGAATGTCCATGTCATACCGGCAAAGAAGGATTGTCCAAAATGACAGTTGTAATTTTGAGATTAGAATTTATACAAAGTTTGCGGTATAATAATTTTAAGTCGAATATGTTTTCTGATTCAGATAATGATGAAGATACACAGAGTATTATTAACAAATCAACAAAGTAAAGAAAGAAAACTGATAGAAGATCTAATGAAAAAATTGCGACATACTTCTCATGAACAAGGGGTACCGTGTAATTTTTCAAGGTTCAAAAGTTTTACGAATGTAAATAATCAAAGAAAATTATAAAATATTCAAATTCATTGGGTAGTGTCAGTGAACAGAAATTATATTTCTCAGGGCTTATAAATGTTTATAATGTGAAACGAAAAACAAGCAGGAAGTTTGAAGATGAGACTTATTTCTATACAGCTTCATACAGCTATAAAGTGAGGGTAAAAGTTGAAGATATCAACAATAATGTTATAAAAGGTGTGCCTGTATGTATAGCATTCATCGTACTTCATGGAATTATCTAAGATAAGGATCTGATAATTGAATTGTTTTCCTTGTTTTTTACTTGTTTCAAAATGTTTCATTTTGTTTTTGTTCAATGTAAATATGTTTAATAATTAAAAGGTCCAATGTCAACAAGAAAATTATATCAGATAAAAAACATTTAATTATTTCCAAGTAAAAGATACTGCATACTTCAATCTCAATAAAAATAATATACTTTCAATTGCACTTTTCTCAAAATCAGTTCATTAGGACATTTCCTGTTATTTGCCTGTGCCCTTCAAATGATCACACGCTAAATGCACCGCTGTAATCATAAAGTCAAACTACTCATTTCCTAATGACAAAGACAAATATAGATCTTGCCTCAATCAGGGCCGTATTTATCCCATGGCCAAAAGGGCCGTGGCCCGTCAAGGTTATTACGTAACTTGAAAAGTGACATGTCGGTTCTTTTTAAAATTATTTAGGTTTTTATATTATTTTATCATAGTTTTTTACGTAATAACCCTGCGGGGTAGCAAACCGAGCGGGGGGCCTCAATCCGCCGCAATCATAAGTTTCGAGTCTTTTGAGCTAAGACCATTTTCGATCAGACAACGCTGCATTTATGAAGCAAATTTGAGTTGGGGTTATGTATTTTGACTAGTGTTTGATATTTTCCGAGAATTCTGACAAGATAAATTCTAACATGCTTTTCTAGAAGATCCTGGTATGAAACCGCCAACAATCAATCTATCTATTACGTTACAACGGGCAACAATCACTGAATCACTTACATAGAATTTCCTTCCACTGTGAGTTCGACCGAACTGTAATCAGCGCTGTTTTGTGCTCATTAGCAACTCATCAGTGCGGTATAGGTCGTAAGTCTAATGGTTGAGACGGACGGAATTCGAAGGAATCAAGTGGACGTGGTCTTTTGAAATTCTCGAAACATTATGCGCAAGTACATGGTAATCTGGCAAACATCGCCTATCAGTGGTTTTGCCAAGCTGGTTTCCATTATCATCCCGTACGACGAAGACGATAGAGAGACCCCCACATATGGAAATTTTGTGGTACATACGAAACCAGACTTTAAGCAGGTTTTTTCGCAAGAAGCAAATACATGTATATCTATATATAATCATTTTTTCATAACGATAAACTGACAGACAAACTCCAAAATAAAGTAACAGCAAGCTTTTTCTCATAAAACTTCTTGCGAAAGCACATGTACATTATAGGTTTTAAGTAAGGTTGTGCCTTAGTAGATCAAAATTTACAAGAGATCATACAAAAGTTTCCAGATATATATTTAGAGCTTCCCACTTTTATCTAGAAGATTAAAAACATATGGTGAAAGGATAATACTTTTCGTTGAAATAAATGAACGACGTGAATGAGAAAATGTATAGCGACATATTCTAAATCTTCCTATAATCTTCGCTGTGCAAATGTAAAGGTGTTAGAGATATTAATACTTGCCTTCAATTTAACTAGGAAATTTACCCTGAGAAATACGTACTAGGTGATTTGAAAGGCCTCTAGACTCGCACACAAAAGATGATGAAGACATAGAACCTTAGAAAACATATTATGTGCTTTGCTGGACTATATACTTGCACACGTTCAAGCAAGCCAAGTTGTCGAAAACAAATTTACAGCAGAAAATATCATGTCGTTTGACGTACTCACAGAAACACTCTAACTGGTAAAATGACTCATTACGTTACGAATTGCTTGTACCGCCATCCTATTCACCAGATTTAGCATCTTCTGTCTATCATTTATTTTCATGGAGTTTGAGTGAACAGTTGCTGCCGCATAAATGCATTTTGAAGGGCTTCCAAAAAAGCACCCCAGGGTAGACGTAACTCAAATAGAAAATTGCTGAAAAAATATACTGGATTCAGATCATCTAAACTTTTCTTATGTTGTAGAGTCCAGAAACTTTTTAAATCAGTTAGTAAGTAAGCCAATTTCAAACACATAAATGTCCATTTTTGAGGTGGCAGCTACCACCAGTTCTAGCCAAATTGAGCTTGGATGTTGTAAGATGGGTGGCTAATTCAAACCTTATTCAATTTATGATACTTATCACTTAACTGTTACTGTTAGTTCGAATAATATGATAGAATTTTGAGCTAGCTAGCCATCTCGCAACATTCGCCTGTCATTAATTTGCCTCACGCCACATCACAAAGTTGTTAATTATGAAATAATTTGGTATAATAAATAAAATGGCTTTTTATTGAAAAAACGACCTTCAATTCGCTAAATTCTTTAAGCAATATATCTTTGGTTATTTTTTGGTGGAGCATTCATTACTTGAAGAAAAGTATAATTTTGATCAAATATTGCGCTAATAGTTCTGAGGTATAAGAAATAGACAAACCTTCTTTAAAAATAGTCTTCCTGAAAATTGAAAGTACAAAAACAATATTCCTACATCGTATTAATATGTATAACACCTTGTTATTCTAAATTCCAGTGAATAATGCATTCAAAACGTAAATTAGGTGGAATATCCTAATTAATAAACGAAATAAAGTATAATTTAGAGTTACTTAATCTGGTTCTACATATGCAAGTTGTTACTTTTCAGATAAGTATATGCACCCAAGTTTTACCTAAGGGCTAGAGCACACCAAGAGATGGCAGAAGAGTGCATCAAGAAAGATGTATTTCGCGAAAGTGTACACTGATGAGAAAAATCCTGGCGATATTGTTAGCACCCTTTGGAATCACATAAGATCCAGTGGATAACGGTCCGGTAGCTGGGGATACCGTAGCATAATTTCTTGAGGGGGGGGGAGGGTGGTAGATGCTTAGTCTAGAGATATTCAGAGTAACAAATACATTTTTAATATTATTCTCAATAGATGTTCAAATAGGTTGCCATTACTTTCTAAACATAAATATTCTTTTAGCAAGTCCTAATAAGTATCAACTAATATTTCTGGTGTACTCATACTAAATGCTGATGAACTTGGGTTTAAATACAGCCCCAACCAAAAAAGTCCAGAGGAGTTAGCACAAAATGTAGCATGTCAACATGTCGGACACGTCTTCATTGCTAAAATGACAGTCTGTCATCTTTGACGATAATAAAGCAATATTAACAATACACAATAATAACAATACTCGTTGACAGGTATTCGTGTCAAGCATTTGTTTGCAACGCCCACTTAAAAAAATAAAGTAACGCATTTTTCTTTATGACCAAGAAAATAAATGTAACATGTGATACACCGTTGAATTCGTATAAGAAAATCCTATTAGATACAGTGGGATTATATAAAAAAGTAAAGTGGATGATAGTTTTTCAATAACGAACCTTCAGGCACAAAATTTTAAAACACCGTCATTTGTGTCCAAAAAGTGGCTATGAAAAGTTTCATTAGTTTTTTGATATTCCTT